TTTATAGGTATTTAGGCGTCTGTCTGCCCTTCACACAGTTTGAGTGTGATTTTTTAAACTTCATCAACGTGGCTCCCTGCCAGCTGCACCCCAATAGCTGGGGTTTTTTGAGGGCTTTTCAAGTCCTGTGCTCCGCCTTGGGAATAGGGTTGTCACTGCCCGTGTTTCTCCATTTTTACCAACTAAAGTTGGGTGACCCTCCCCTGGGGTGGGAGTCGTTGAACGGGAGTAAGGCTGGGGGATTATTCTCGCTTTACTCCAAGTCGTATAAGGGCTTCAAACATGAGTTCTTCCGAGTTCTGCCCAAGGAGGTTGACCCGTTAAAGGATGAAGAATTCCACTTTGGCGGGTTTGCGAGGTTCCCTCTTTACTGGTAGCAGAATCTGATCATGTTCAACGAGTCAAGCAGTCTTCAGCTGACAGCCTCGGATACTGCTGCCATTGCTAATTTAGTCGCGCTCCCTCGTCCCTTGGATTGCAAGCTCGTCTTGGGGCTTGCTAATTTGGTGTACAAGGAGAGGGGTTTAGAGAGTGAGTACCTCGGCACCTTTAGTTGTGGAGCCCTCTAACTTTTTCTTCTTTTTCTTATATGTTGGATTTTTGTGCTTACAGGTATCATGGGGAAAAGCAAGTGGTGCGAGCTAAAGGTCTGCTACAATGTGGCCGAGATCGAGGTTCCCGAGGTCGGCAAAGAGGAGGTTGTTCCTCTTGAAACCCGTAGAAAAAGAAAGAGGGTGGAGAAGGAGGTTGGGGGGACCTCCGCCCCTCATGATGCTGAAGAGGTGACCTTGAAGGCCGCCGATGCCGATCCGGTTGACCTGACAGGGAGTCCTCCGCCTGAGGGGTCGTCCCAAGTGGCCACAGAGGAGGTCGCTCGTGAGGCGCAGGTTTGTATCCCTCTTGATAGACTATGGCCAAGGCCAAGGAATCCAAGAGGTGATATCTTAAAAGAACCAAGAGGAATGGGATGATCTTAAAGACCTTTTTCATATATTTTGTACATAGTTTCTTTGTATAGGTCTAATTTTGCCTTTGTATTTGTGAGGCACATTACTTGCTTTTAATTAGTGATTGTATTTTGATTTTAGGGTGGGTTACTTGGAGAGTTTAACTCCATTTAACCTCCCTAGTTGATACATTCATTTTGTATTTTTTTCAGTAGGGAAAAAGGGGTGGCATTTAGCAATGCTTGAGGGTGTGACTAGTAATTGGGAAAGAAATGCGAATCGGGAAAATTTTGTATATTGGAACGATTTTGATTATAATTTTTCATTAGCTAGGTCTCATCATCATATGATGAACCTAACTAAACCAAATAAAATATTTTTGAATTAAATCATGGAGCATTTTGGAGCCTTGGCCGTCTAGCCTCCTTCCTTGTTCTTGGCCGAAATTCACTAAGTCCTCCTTAAAGTTTTGAAGCTTCTCCTCCAAGTTTCTAAACCTTGGTAGGTTAGGCTGACCTTACCATGGTTCTTAAGTGAACCATGGTCAAGGTTAGCTTTTCCTACAAGTTTTATAAACCATGGATGGTTAGCGACACCTTACCATGGTTCCTAGTGAACCATGGTTAAGGTTAGCTTCTCCTAGAAGCTACCTCTCCCTATATATTTGTAAATCCCTCTCTTGTAATCACTTTTGAGCATTTGAGAAATAAAACTTCAGATTTCTCTCCAAAATTCTCTCCTAAAATCGAAGAGAATTCTGTCTCTAAGGTTTCTCACCAAAGTTTCTTCAAACTTTGCCTTGGTTCCTCAAGCTTCTACAACAAGCTAGGAGTAACCGAACCTATTCCATTGCTTCTCCACCATTGGAGAATCCTCCAAGGTGATTCTGCCATCTCAAGGAGTTCTACCTCAAGAGTTCTTCTGTCCTTTGCATGGAAACTTGGAAGCACAACAATCTTCTCCAAGTACTTCCATCACCTCTTCTTATGGTTTTTCTTCCACATTGTGTGATTTTCTTGTTTAATAACTTGGAGAATTTTCGTGCTTTGTGTAGGCGGGGCCTATGCCAACTTCTGCCGAGGCACGGGTGGAGCCGAGCTCGGAGGTGCCAAGGCTTGAGGAGAGGGGCCTACCTCAACTCCTGCCGAGGCCCGCGGAGAGGGGCCGAGTTCTAGGGTACCGTCATCGACCCCTACGATCGCTGTACCGCCTCCACCTCCGCTAGGGGCTCCGAAGGGGAAGTGCATCATACAACGCTTCGATGTCACTCGCCCCCTGGTGAGGTTGGACCATGTGAGCATGTCATCATACGTCGACTCGATGTGGAGTTCGGGGGTGACTGTTGAGGCCTTCTACCCGCAAGGGTCGCTCTTCTCTGCTGACAAGGCGATTATCGAGAAGGTCGGGCCAGTGGAGGGTCTAGACTCTGCGGAGCTCTTCATGTAGAGATCGATCATGATCCTGGACCATTAGAAGCGCAAGTGGTCAAAGATGCAGGGGGAGCTCGAGAGTGCTAAAAGCTGAGTTCAGCCGTTGGAGGAGGAGAACCGGGCTTTGGGGGCTGCTTTGAGCGAGGTAGTAAAGAAGAATGGGGCCGAGCTGTAGGCCACGAAGAGGGATCTCGCAAGGACTCAGAAGTCTTTGGAGATTACTTTGAGGGATAATGAGGTCTATGCTGCCCAGGTTGGCGAGCTTCAGGAGATCGCCAATTCTTCTCGGGGTCGAGTGCGCTCTCTTGAAGACGAGGTCTCGGGGTTGAGATCTGATCTGGCAGAGGTGGCTGAGAGGCGTCTCTGTGATGAGGTGCTTCTAGCGAGTAAGGAAGAGGAGGCCAGTGCCTTAAGGCTAAACCTTGATCTGTTGGTCGCAGCGAAGGTGACCTTAATTAGAGAGGAAGCTCGTTGAGACTGAGCGAGCTGTTTTGGTGGAGCACAAGAAGGGCTTTGTCAAGGTAGCTCGTGAGGCGAGGTTGCTTGCACCCGAGGTCGACCTTTCTGCTACGCATGTGGAGAAAGAGGTGCGAGCTGGGCGGTTGGTGAAGGAAGACGACCTCCCTGACAGCTCAAGCGAGAATACCACTGCCTAGGCCGCTATTTTGTAATAACTTAGTTTATTTAGTTCCTTTTTTCTTGCTTTCTGAACTCTTGCTTTGTACTGACAAACTTGTCGTGTATATATTATTTTTCTGAGTTTTCATCTTGCGCTTTTGATGGTTCTATTTTGACCTTTGGTTTTGCGCTCAGGATTGAGTTTGGATTTAGGCTTAGTTGTAGCCCGTTTTTGAAGTTCAAAACACGTTCAAAACTTGTTCTATATTTTGTGCTTTTTTGGGGGAAAGTAACTCGCATCAAGGTTCGAATTCGACCTTGGCTTATCACAGTAATTCGCGCCGAGATTCGAATTCGACCTTGGCTTATCATAAAGTAATTTGCACCAAGGTTCGAATTCGACCTTTGCTTAACATAGAGTAATTTGCACCAAGGTTCGAATTCGACCTTGGCTTAACATAGAGTAATTTGCACCAAGGTTCGAATTCGACCTTGGCTTAACATAGAGTAATTTGCACTAAGGTTCGAATTCGACCTTGGCTTGACATAAAGTAATTTGCACCAAGGTTCGAATTCGACCTTGGCTTATCGTAAAGTAATTTGCACCAAGGTTCGAATTCGACCTTGGCTTATCGTAAAGTAATTTGCACCAAGGTTCGAATTCGACCTTGGCTTAACATAGAGTAATTTGCACCAAGGTTCAAATTCGACCTTGGCTTAACATAGAGTAATTTGCACCAAGGTTCGAATTCGACCTTGGCTTAACATAGAGTAATTTGCACTAAGGTTCGAATTCGACCTTGGCTTGACATAAAGTAATTTGCACCAAGGTTCGAATTCGACCTTGGCTTATCGTAAAGTAATTTGCACCAAGGACGATCTTCTAGGCAAGATTGGTGAGCCTCCTTCGTCGGGTACGATAGTTGTTCCAGAGTGGGGGTGGTACCTGCAAAAGAGACTCCGATGCTAAAGTTAGTGTTTGTGAATGTATGAGTCTCGTATAAGTAATGCACGTACCTTAGTGTGAATTAGGATTTATCTGGGCCTTGAGCCCGAGGTCGGTTGTGACCTGTTCGGATAGTGGGCTTTGTCTTGGCTGATGTTGTATAGCGCGTGTCCGATGTCAATCCGTGCTGTGACGCCGAGCTCGAGCTCAGCTTCGCAATATGGATAGTACACTTCTCATAGAGCAAAATAAAAAAGAACGTAAAATAACCTTTTTCATAAAATAAACTAAAATGAACTTACATTAAATTATTTTACAGAAAATATTTTTTATTAGTTTATCTAAAATCTTATTTTTAATATATATATATATATATATTAAATTATGAAAAAATTATTTTAATTTTTTTTCATATTTTTCTCTTTCATATATATATATATATATACTTTATTTTTTTAACGTATCTGGATTGTTAGCTGTTACTCCGTGATATCTTCTCTTTTATGTTACTCACTTTTTCAGCCGGAAACATAAAAATTATGGGCTTTCTCTTTCTTTCAATTGTGGATGAAATAACAATGGCTTTCTCTCTAAAAAAACAGTAAAACTGCCTCTGTGACTGTGTATGGCACTTCCAAATATATACACTATTGTCGAAATAAAAGGTGAAGAAATTCATGTACAATTTTTTTTTTTAATTTAATATAGCTTCAAACTCAATAAATACCTTGCAGACTACGGTGATTGTAATTTGTAAGAAAGAGACAACCGATAAAGAAGAGATGGTGTAAAGAGAAGAGATAACAGAGAAACAGCGTAACAATTTGTTGAAGATATGTAAAAGAAAAAAAAAAATTTAATTTTTAATCACGTGTTAAAATTTGATCAGTAAAACATAATATGAGACATGTAGTAACAGAATCCCTGAACCCATTGTCTATTTTAGATTGAGCGACAGAAGTTATGTCCGCAGTGAACTACAGTGTCGGTTGGTTTCCTCGTAAAATTCCCCGCTTCTCATTCTTATATATATATATATATATATATATATATATATATTACGTAGCCTACTCTCGAATCTCGACCACCTTGAAAGCCTTTGTTTCAAAATGACACCTCTTCACATTTTCCTCCTCCTCTCCCTCCTCTCCATCACCACCTCCACACCCCACACCATCACCCTCCCCCTCTCCCCCTTATCCACCAACCACCCCTCCCACACCCTCAAACTCGCCGCCACCACCTCCCTCACCAGAGCCCGCCACCTCAAAAAAACCCACCACCACTCTCTCCTCAAAACCCCACTCCACCCCAAAAGCTACGGTGGCTACTCCATCAACCTCAACTTCGGAACCCCACCGCAAACCTTCCCCTTCCTCCTCGACACCGGAAGCACCCTCCTCTGGCTCCCATGCTCCTCCCACTACCTCTGCTCCAAATGCAGCTCCTTCCGAAACACCCCCAAACCCTTCATCCCCAAAAACTCTTCCTCCTCAAAGCTCCTAGGCTGCTCCAACCCCAGATGCGCTTGGCTCTTCGGCCCCAATGTTAAATCCCACTGCTGCAAACATAACGCCGTTAACTGCTCCCAAACGTGTCCACCCTACACTATTCAGTACGGCCTCGGCTCCACCGCCGGGTTCTTACTCTCGGAAAATCTCAACTTTCCCGAGAAAATCGTGAACGATTTTCTCCTCGGCTGCTCCGTCGTCTCCGTCTACCAACCCACCGGAATCGCCGGCTTCGGCCGCGGCCCGGAGTCTCTACCCTCGCAGATGAACCTCACAAGATTCTCCTACTGTTTACTCTCTCACAAGTTCGACGACTCGCCGTCAACGTCTAGCAACCTCGTCTTGGAAACAACCTCCCAAGGAAGAACAAAAACTAACGGCGTCACCTACACGCCGTTTACGAAAAACATAAACACGAACCGAAACCCCGCGTTCGGCGCGTACTACTACGTCACCCTGAGAAGAATCGTGGTTGGGGGGAAGCGCGTGAGGGTTCCGAAGAGGCTGTTGGAGGTTGACGCCAACGGCGATGGTGGGCTCATCGTGGACTCGGGCTCCACGTTCACGTTCATGGAGAGGCCCATTTATGATTTGGTGGCCCAGGAGTTCCGGAGGCAGGTGAACTACACGCGCGCGCGGGAGGTTGAGGCGCGCTCCGGGTTGGGTCCGTGCTTTGTTGCGCCTGGCGGCGGCACGACGTCGTTTCCCGAGATGAGTTTTGAGTTCAGGGGCGGCGCAAAGATGAGGCTGCCCGTGGCGAATTATTTCTCGCTGGTCGGGGAGGAGTCTGACGTGGCGTGTTTGACCGTTGTGTCTGATGACGTGGCGGGTCCCGGCGTGGCGGCTGGACCGGCTCTTATATTGGGGAATTATCAGCAGCAGAATTTTTACGTCGAGTATGACTTGGAGAATGAGAGGTTTGGATTTCGGCGTCAGAGTTGCAAAACGAGCGTTTAAGATTAATTATTGGGTAGGGTTAGTTGAAGTTGTAACACTGTTACTTTTCTTTATTTTTCTTAATTTTTAATTATTTTTTTTCTTCTTATCGAGGACTAATGCATTGGATTTTCACGATTAATAAGTGAATATACTCTTGGTGTTGTCAAAAAGTGTCGAACCAGATATTTTAACAGCTGCTTTGATTCATATATACATAGAAAGTGTGTTGTACAGTGATCGATGAACTACCAGAAGATAAATTACTAGAATCAACTTGGTGCTACGAGTTAGAATAATAATTTAAATTTTGTTGGTATCATTGTGATTCTTTTGTAACTCAATTTGATAAACTTCATGATCAAGTCTATCCTAATAACATTTTTAAAAAATACTTTTATAAGTTTTCTGGTCTAGTTTATAATTAATATAATCTCTCATTTGATAATTATGGCTTTTGACCATATGCATGTCACGATTTATTTAGGATTTGTTTGTTTTCGCGTTATGTCCAAGGACGTCGATCAACCCAAAACTTACAATACTTATTGCTTTTTTTTTTATTAATTTGATGTTTTGGACGTGAATTTAGCGAAAAACGTAGATCATAGACATAGATTTCCACATGCACTTACTATAATTATGTCATTGTTATTATTAAGGGATTTTATTGGGCAGTTAGAAATTTTTCTAACACATTCTTATTTTAATAATAGTTTGTTGTAATGATGATGACTTTTGACCATATGAACTTTCTTGTAGTGTAAGGATGCTCATTACTAGACTACATATGTTGATAAGAAAAAAATGGATTCTCTAATATGAAATTTTACATGGCCTAGGTGGACATAAAAAGAAAAACCCAGCTTAATTAAATAAGACTACAAAAATTCTAAAATATTTTTCTTATTTAATATCTTGATTTTTTAGTCTATGAAATTTTAAATATATAATAAATTCATATATTCAATCGTGATGTTGATGGTGACACAATATTATATATCAAATTTTTTTCCTGATTTTTTTGTCTCTTGAAACTTGGGAAGAAAAAACGAGGGATCAAAATCTCTAGTGAAAGATAAGTTTTGTTGAAGAGATAATGTGTTATCACTCCTAATTTAATCTTCTTCTTTTCGCGCTTTTAATATAGAACTATAAAATTATTTTTCAAAACATGCCTACAATGTCATGTTCTTTAATTTCTGGGACTCGGATACTCGATATAATTTTTTCCTCTTTGATTAATTTGAATATGATTCCTAGAGTGCTTTTATTTATTTTCTGCGCAAATTATATTCCTTAATCGCATATTTCTTTCTTCATTTCTCATGCGAGTTAAGAAAGGGGAGTTCTTTCCAAAAGGGATCGATTCCTAATTTAATGTTCTTTCGGAAAGTTTACATTCAAAGGATGGAGGAAGTAAAGCGTTGGGTTATCTTTATTCGTTGTTCCATTTTGCGTTATTTTTTTCTTTTTTGGTTGTCCTCTTGCACTCAAAGAACAAGCCCCACTTATTTGTTGCATGCACGCCAAAAGCAATATCATTTTGTGCTTGTGCATGAACCAAAGATATTGTAAAGTAAGTCAAATTGCCTCTTGATCTTGGTGTTTGATCATTAGTTTGTATTTGTGAGGGTATTTAGTTTTTAAAGTGTATAATTTGAACCTAATTTAAAAATTTTAGTGCTATATCCTCGATAAAAAAAAACTTCATATAGTTTATGTTTGTATAGAAGTTAATTTGTTTTAACATATTAATTAATAACTTTTTTAATTCATCATCTCTATCATTAAGGTTTTACCTTGTTGTCTTTGTTATTTGTTGTAACCTTGTACTTATACTAATTGGGTAGAAGAATAAAGTTTATGGGCGAAAAAATAATAATGATCACTTGTCACAAGAAGTTTTCTCATATTTAAAATTTTTTCATCACATTATTTTTTAATGACATGAAATAAAATCTTTTTCATAAAAAGTGATTTTTATATTCGTCTGAAAATATCACACCCTATTATTACTTAATATAAGATCAGGAAATATCGATAACATACACAAGTGATAGCCTGATTTGATATAAATAATTTTATAGACAATTTTACCTTTAAATTTTTAAATAATATTAAAAATTAATTATTTTTATAAACATAAAACCCGATCTCAAAACATCTTATGATTTGATAACCAAACACAATTATTTTATGTTTTTGGTGGACCATAATTTACTTTAAGTAGTTTATTGCAAGTTTGGGTTCGGTTTATATTGCGGTAAGCTAGGTGGGATGTCACTTCTTATCTAATTTGTTGTTAAAACACAAAAAGGTGCTAGAAGCTTTGGTTTCACTGATTTGCTTTCAAGAAAATAATTGCACTTATTAAAAGACATGCTAGAGAAGGTAAAAGCGTTGAAAGTGAACGATAGTGATGAATTCAGTCTCAGCCAGAAAAAAAGGATATGATTTCTGAAAGGAAATGAGATGAGTGATACTGAAGGTTTATTGAATTAATTGCACGTGTCATTGAATAAAACCAAAAGTGGTGGGTTCCAAAAGGTGCTGTGAGTTTGTGTTTTTTTTACTGGATCACACATTAGGAAGCTAGTGCACTAAAAAGAGTAGTGAGTGGGAGTGATGAAATAGTGCACCAATCTTAAATGTATCATCACTCAACATGTAGATGGTTGGATTGCTTAACATGTAAGTCTCGAACAGTGTGTTGGTTATCCCCTTCTTGTGTTGTGCCTAAGAGAAATTATTTTTTTAAAATAAATAAATTTCTGTAACATTTTTTATAATTAACTATGAGAATAAGAAAGAGACAAGTTTAAGAACGGAAAAAAAAAACTTTATTGTTACCTTTGAATTTCAATTTTTTGCTATAATTTATGATAACATCATAGTTAAAGTCCGTCTAAGGGGACATAGTATATTTATTCAGACAGGAACAATGTTTCTCTACATGGTAATATTGTACGCATGACTTACATATGCTATAGACATATATAATTGAATATGATTATCACAATGACCGTAAATCCTGGGAATGATGATGAAATAGTTTTTAATTCATTGCGTCTGGTTAACAAACAAATGTGAAGAAACTGATGAGATAAACGGAACCCGTATTCAATTTCCAGGAAAGGAACCAAAGATAAGAGTAAAGAGAAGAGACAATTGCTTTGATTGCTTTAGCATGTGCGCATGAGAGTGTACCTTTTTGTTCCTGTCCCATTGCTGTTGAAAATTAGGTCTTGTTTTGGTATGATCTTCTTTTTTCACACACCATTTTTGTTTTTCGCCTTGTCCTTGCTATTCATTTAACCAGATCCATCCAAGTTCAATAAACAACTAGTCCTGCTGGCCCATTTTGCTTTTTATTTTTTTATTGAAGAGATAGGAAAAAGATAAAAAGGCAACAAGTAACAAGTGCATTCTAATTCACATAATTTGTTCCCACATAGTTTGATAATTTGATTCCTCCCAACTATTATATTTTGGCCAGCTGTTATATTCTGGCTACATAATTTGCTCATTAATTTCCTTTGCAAAGTGAGAGAGTAAATAAAGAATCTGTTTAGAAACAAGTTAAAAGCTTTTTTAAGGGTACTGAAAATAAAAATACTTTTTAATAAAGAAATTTTAAAAATATTTTTAAATTTTGTATTAAAAAGTTGTATTTTAAACTTTTGGGACTAGTTGATTGATAGAGGCAATAATTGTTGCATGCTTGTGCATATTTGTTGGATGATTATTAAGAGAGCTTTAGTAATAGTAAGTCTTGGTATCCGAGAGAGGAAAGGAATTAATTAGGGTCATAATTCTTGTTATGAACTAAAAATGAATCCGAAGTTGGTCACTGGTTGCTATATTATTTAGACAACCTGACTTAATTACATTAGGGATGTGCAAAAAATTTAAATTGATCCGAATCGATCCATAATCGATCTGATCTATATTGAAAATTTTGATTTATTTTAAAAAAAAATCCGAACCGAACCACTTTATAAAACCGGTTCAGTTATTCGATCCATTTTTATAAAGTGGATCGGTTCGGTTCGGTTTGGTTTTCTAAAAAAACCGATCCATATATGAGTAAAAAAATGGATAATTACACCGCACAGAACCGATCTAATTTCAAAAAAATCAATCCATATTTTAGAAAAACCAAACCGATCCACTTTATAAAAAATGGATCGGTTAACCAATCCACTTTTATAAAACGGTTCGGTTCGGTTTGAATCGATTTTTTGTAAAAACCGATCCATGAACACCCCTAAATTACATGCAGAACAATTATTAATTAATAAAACTATAACTATATACAAATAAAACTATGAAAAAACAGTAAAATACTTCTATTTATACTTGTGAGGAAGATAGATGGCATATTCATTATCGCATGAAATGGAGGCAGGCTAACACGAAAATGAATGTGCAAAATCTTGAAACGAAAAATTGAGCCACTCGATTTCCGAACGAGGTTGGCTAGAGCTTTATACTCTACCTTAATGGAAGACTTTGATACTATATTTTTCCTTTTAGATCTTCAAGAAATAAGAGAAACAAAGAAATACACAATAAATATTTGAAATTATGAAAAATTATTAGTTAATTTTGAATCACATAATAGACTTGTCAAATGGGTTCAATCTATCCTCATAAACCCTAACTCAAGTGGGTCAGGACAAAAAAGTCTACAAGACCAAAGAGCTTACTTATAAAAAAAGTCCACGGGATCATAAAGCCCTTATGGTTAAGGCTAGTCTATAGACCAATTTTTTTTTAATATAAAAATAATAAATTAAACTATTAAAAAATTATTAGTCCATTATAAAAATTAACATACTCCATGCATTAATTAGTCTATTTTTATGGACTAACTTTTAATTTTTAATTTTTTTATACAAATCTTTAAATTATATTCTATTTGTAACATTGAGTCATGATCTTACATACCAATTAGTTATTTTATTTTAAATAAGTATGAATTTTAAATTCTTGTAAAATTGCATTGCATTTAAAAATCTTTTAAAATTTCTTAATTTGATAGTTGGGAGGATGAAGCATATGATAGTTTGTAAAACGAGTTTAACTTTTTATATATTATTAGTGAAAAAATTATACAGTTGATTAAGAAATATTTTAAATAAATATGATTTTAAAGTAATTATTATAAAAATTATTCACTATAAGAAAAATGTAAATTACCGACAGATAATTTTCGATAGATACAAATCTATTAGAAAATTTACATTTTCGACTTCCGACAGATTTATTCGTAGATAATTTTCAACAAATATAAATATGTTGAAAAATTTATATTCTCGATGAAAAAATTCAGAAGAAAAGTTATATTACTAATGAAATATTTTCGACAAATTTATATTTGTAAAAAATGTAATAATTTTTTACAAAAATTGACAATTATATATTAAAAAAGATCAATAAAATTTTAAATATCTATATATATAGAGAGAGAGAGAGAGAGAGAGAAAGAGATAAAGGAGGAGGAGGAGGAAGAATCAAATGACTCACAAAGTAACTCTTGGTAAAGTTACTCCACTCAATAACTCATGGTCTATGTTCAATTTCATTGATCCAATTGTTAAATTAAAATTTAATAAATTTTACTAATAATTAATATAGAAAAATTGATTAGCTTTGAAAATAATTGATGATTTTGATATTTTTTTATAACTAAAACTAAAATATGAATACTTTGATTACCTTCAAGTTGTTGTTCAATTTTAACAAAATTTGATATAAACATATAAAGTGATATGAAAACTTTCAATCTAACGGTTGAATTTAAAAAATTCACATTTAATATAAATTTATTGAGCGGTGTAATGCTTAGTAAAAGTTACATCGGTGTTATTATAACCCTTCTCATTTTAAAATATATAAATTATTATTTAAACTTTTAAATTTATAATAAATAATTTAAATTGTATCACAATATTAATTTTAAATAGAAATAAGTAGATTTTTAATTATAAAATTAAGTATATATATAAATAAATATTATTTAAATATAATATAATAATTATTATTGGTAATATAATTATTATATATATTATTATATTTTTATAACAGTTCGGACACACCGGAATGAGAAGGATCCAAAGATAGAATCCTTGAGAGGGCAAATATGACGAGTGTTACATTAATAAATTTTTTAAAATTGAACATAATTTTTTTGATGGATTTATCCGTTGGAATCAGATAAAGATTTTCAACAATTTTTGATGGATATATCCGTTGGAAATTTCCGACGAATTAAATTTTTTCCTACAGTTTTTTTTTCAACGTCCCTTTTTCCAACAGATGTAAATCCATCGAAAATCCTCTATTTCTGACGAATATTTCTTTTACCGACGGATTATGTCCATAAAAAATTTACGTTTTTCTTATAGTGCTACATGATTGTACAACATATAAGTGAGACGAACACAATACTTGTAACCTTCATAACCATTGTTATAAGGTTGAGCTTCGACAAACTTGTTTAAAGAGAATACTTGTTTTGAGCCTAGAGAAACTTGATTATAAAAGAATACTTGATTGTTAAGCCCAGAGAGACTTGTTGTTAAAAGAATACTTGGATAGTTATTTGAAAAGTTAAGTCAAAAAGTACTTAGGATTGAGTTAGAAGTGGCTTCTTGTTGAAATAATATTTATATATTTGTTTAAAGATAGAAAAACTTAATCTAGTTTGATCGAGAATTTGATGTAGTCTTGGTGGTTGAGACGAACCAGCATGAAAATTTCTAGTGTTCCATTTGACTATTCTTCATACCCTATCTGACTAGAGTTACTATTTTACTACGAAAAATCGTGCAAATGTTTTATATATAGTTTTCAATCTCCCTTATAGTGTTTATCTTTTCTTCACAGGATGTGATTAGTTGATTTATTATTGTGAGACTCTAAGGATTAACGAATTGTTATAAGTTTTAGTTGTTAGGAGTTGCTTTGAGTAACGATCAACTTGACCTATTAGGAAATGGTATATAAGATTTTTTTTAAGACTTGATTTTTATAAATTCATTTCTTAAGAAACTTAGAAAGTAGTTAGAGAGAAGAGCTCTGAAGTTAGGACTTTTTCTTTCTTCTTTAGTTTCTTATAAAGAGTACTAGAATCCTTCCCTAGAGTTAGTGAGTAGCATAGTGGTGATTCAAGATAGTTGGAGATGAGAATCCAAGACTACAATGTGGTGGTGTAGAGTTTTCTGAAGGGTTTCCTTATTCTCTTCTACCTTTTCTCCGATTGATTTTTGGGTAAGGAAAGCTAGAACTTGAATTTCTAATTATGAATTTATATGTTGCTTGGTTTTCACTAATTCGTGGTTGTGGTAATGATTAAGGGGAAATTCTTATATTGTGAGTTGTGGTGCTTTTGAGCATGTTGAGATAAATTTTACCATGGATTATGCATGTCGAATTTGTGGCTAAAAACAAGTTGCTTATGTTGTGTAGTTAGGTTATTTGTCATTGCATGTTAGGATTCCTTGGTTTTTTAAGTGAAGGGAGCCAAATTCGTGATCCTGCCAAGTGTAGAAATCACATCGTGCTAGGTGTAACTTCAAGATGTCAACCGTGATGTAGACTAGAGACTCTCTGCCTCACTCTCATCGAGCACAATATTCGTGTAGTCAAATGTGAGTTAGAAGATAGCTCTCTAACTTGGTCACACTCGTGGGTTAAATGACATCGACCATGGATGCCCTTGGAGCTCTTTAACTTGGTGACTTGGTCCTAATTGAGTGGTATCAGACGTGATCAAGATAGAAACTCTCTACCTAAACAATGCTGGATGCAAGTGTAGTGATGCCGGACATGAGTCACACATAGGCTCTCTACCTAAATGTGGTCAGATGTGAATTTAGTCACATTAGACGTGATTGGCCTAAGGGTTCTCTAACTTATTCACATTGAGTACTGATGGATTTATGCCAGGCATGGGCGAGCTAGAGACTCTTCGTCTCAATGACACCAAGTGTGGAAAGAATGGCGTTGAACATGAGATGCTAAATGAAAATGTGTTGTTTATTTGGCTAAGTGTTAAATATTGTGTGTATAAGTGAAAAAACTCATATGTTATATGACTTTAATTCCTTATATATTAATCTAGGATGATGTACGTGGATATTTAAGTTGTTAAAATATAGTAAAGTATGTTGTGTAATAATGTTGAGGTGGTTGTATTGAGAATATTTAAGGCATGTAGTTGAGCTATGTTAATTGATTTGGGATTAGAGGAAAGATGTTTTAAAAATTGAATAATCCATTGGGAGGATATGGTATTGTAGTGCTCTACAAACCCATTTGTTCAAAACCGTTATTGAAAACACCATATCCTCACAATCCTCGTACATATAAAATCACACTTAAAATAAAAAAAGAAAAAGACAATATACGATATATGTATTAATATAATGTAATATATATATATATTCATTAATTTAAAATATAAATTTTTCCACAATTATTTAATTATATATAATTATGTATGATAATTTTATTAAAAATTATACTAACAATATGCATTAAAAAATCATATTAAGTGTGATAAAATTAATGATATAAGTACGTCAAAATTAAACTATAAATTTAGGAGAAAAAATATCTTTTAATTTTTTTAATCATAATATTAATATGAAATATTTATTATTTTTTTTACTAGAAGCGGTATATCCTTAAGAACATGAGTATTTTTTTTCAACATAATTTATTTTATAAGCAAAACAAGTTTTAAACTCAAAATAATATAGTTAAAGAATACAAATAATTACAATATGTAACAAACCATATTAGCATTTTTCTAATTTAATTAGACATATGTCTCATTTCGCAAGACATGGAAAACTATAGAAGAACAAAGTTGTCATGAAATGATGAAATTGCCACCTTTTTCAAATGATTGAGCTAGAAAAAATGTAAAATGTAATTCTATTTTATCTGCATATTTTGAAGCTGACCGATGCAATGCAAAAGAACATATATATAATACATGAAAAAAGAAAAAAAGAACATATAATTTAAATACGTTTTATTTTATTTTATTTTTCCAGAATCACGAAGACGAGGCAAAACCGATCCTCCTTCAACACATGGCCAAGCCATTGCTATATTTGAAGCAGCAGCATTTTTTCAGAGTCTTTTCAACGTTTTAAAAGACGCAGCTCCGCAGGGTTAGTTAACAGTTTAGTTATAATATTTGAAGACTGAGTTGAAAGTTTCACACGTTGAAAGGTTGTTGGGTGATAAGTGCAACTCACTACCAACCAGCCAAACCAAAATCAAAACCAAACCACACCGTCTTTCGCACCAATTGTTTTCATTCTGCAATGCGAAACGCAAACACTGCTTCTTCATCCACACGCTCTTCAACCTTCGCATTCTCATTCCCTCCTTCACCGTCGCCATGCTGCGCTCTCTCTGGCGATCCATCGATCGCTTCTCCCTTCAACACTTCGAGTAAGTGTTCATTTCATCGCTTCCTATCAATTCTCGTCGCTAGGGTTCCGTCTCAGATTTCGCTGCTTTTTTCATCGCTAACTTAATTATTCGTAAATTTCGGTGACAAATTGAATTTCTACGCCGCATTGTGAGGTTTATCTTGTTTTCTGAGTAATGTTGCGGATTAATTTTCGGTGTTCGTGGATTTTTACGTCGTTGATGCGGTTACAGATATGTAATAAGTGAGCTGCGGAAGATCAAAGTTGTGAACGTGCATAACAGGGTAATGTGCGTCGATTTGTGTGTGTGCGTCTTCTTTTGCTTGAGAAAATCGCAATGTGCTTATGCGTGCCTTTTCTCGCAGGAGTCTGTGATGGATTTGTTGCAGTCTGTTGTGGAGATTGTGACCTATGGCGATAGACAAGATCCGCACATTTTTGAGTATGAATCAATCTGCCGCGGAAGTTTTGTTATTCTGTTGCTCTTGTTTTTTGGACGAGGTTCTGATAATTGTGAATATTTTTAGATGTTTCATGGAACGCCAAGTGCTGGCGGACTTTGTTCGCATACTTAAGATCAGTCAAGATTCGAAAATTGAGGCACCACTGCTTCAGTACCTGAGCATAATGATTCAAAACATGGATAGTGAACAAGCAATTTGTAAGATGGTTGATATTTATTGATGTCTCTGGTTAAGTTCATTGACTTTTGAGTTTTACTTGCTTATACGTAGGTAGTTGATATCTGCATGATGTTTTCATTTTACAAAACTTAGTGTTACTTTTAAGTCCTTGCCTCCTTGGCTTAGTTCTGTTAGTTAATATGAATTGGTGTTTCTTATTTGCATGGTGCAGACTATTGCTTCAGCAATGGTTATATAAACAGCATTATTTCACATCCCTACAAATATGACGGGGGAGACCTAGCTCCATACTATGTTTCTTTCCTGAGGTTATAATCCTTTTCTCCTATCCCTTGCATCTCTCTTTATCACTCAACATTTGTTGCAAGTTTTCCCTGCTTGTTTGAAGACATGCAATTATATGTTTGACGCTTTTTTTCTTCTCTTTTTCTTTATTTATATTGAATAGTATTGGGAAGGATGTAAGATTTGTAATTTTGATATTTTGTTTTAAATATTTCTTTTGTGTTACATTACAGTAATTTATAGAATAATTTCATTTTTTTTTGTTTCTTCATTCAGGGCAGTTAGTGGTAAAATAAACAGAGACACACTTTGCCTTCTTGTGAATGTTCAGGGGGTAAGTTAAAAACATATATATATATGTGATGGTTAGCTGCTGTCTGTTAAATCAAGTTCGTTATCTTCCCACTTTGGGTAGAACATAAGGCTTGAATTATTTTATGGTTGCACTTGTTTGGCCGCAGTTATTAAACTTATTTCAGTCAATCAATAATCTCATTAATAAAGATAATGTAATATTATTTCAGTTGAGAAAGATATTGGATAAAGTTACATACTTGCCTCCTACCATGATCATCAGTTAATTTTTACTTGATATATGAGGGTGGTTGTATTTTGTCCTGCAGAATTCAGCAAAAGTATTTTAAGACTCTGTGTTTGAACATTCAACTGCAGGATGCTGTAGTTTCCTTTCCCTTATACACGGAAGCTCTAAGATTTGCTCAGCATGAAGAAAAGATGATTCAGACAGCTATACGTTCATTAGTTCTAAGCATCTACAATGGTATACTGATGCTCTTTGAATTACAAGTTATAAGCACGCTCTAGTGCAATGTATTTCTGAAGTTTGTTACATTTTTATCTTGATTCTACAGTTAGTGATGACTTGGTCTATCAATTTATATCAACTCCTCCAGTTTCAGAATATTTCACTGACCTGGTTCGTAAATTAAGAGATCTATGTTTTCGCTTAGATGCTTTTGTCTATGATAAAGGGTAAGCTCACTTGAATATTTTTATCAAATAAATTTTTGGTACTTCATAGGCACTTGAGTAGTTCTAACTTTGGAGCTAACTGCTCAACACTGAAACAGGAAAATGGACATGCAAAAAAGAAGAAACGGTATTATTCTTGAAGCTGACAAAATTGTGGATGAACTGTACTACTTTAAAGACATTCTTAGTGTTGGTGAACCTCGTTTGACTAGACTGGTTATGGAAAATCTTCTGAATGGGCTTGTGTTTCCTGTACTATGTTCATTATTGGCTTCAAAGAATAAAAATGTGAGATGAGAAAAATTTCCTGCAGACTAGTCTACTTTTAGTTTTAGCTTCTCTTTCATTTTGTATCATGATCATCGTTATATTGACTTTAGTGTTCAAGTATGTTAATCATGATAGGGTTGTGCCCTCCGATTTGTGAGTATTTAGGGATTTGGCTCTTCGAAAGTGAGATGTATAAAATGAGAAAGTAAGAGTGTATCCATCCTTGATTTGAAATGAGTTAAGCATACACAGTACTTTAATTAAAATCAAGGTGAATGTATACTTACTTTCTCACTTTATTCACCTTCTCTCTTTAGAGGACCTAAATCCAATATTTAATCTATACCTAGTATGATTGAATGGGAATTTCTCCACATTGTATCAAATCTTTGTTTTCTAAAACCATGAGTTTTTTCTTCTTCTTGTAATTGAAAAGACGAGCAAATCATCATTTGAAATTAACCTCAAAGTCTCACTTCTTACTTTTAAGTAGTTCATTCATTTTTTAGATTTAATTATTTCAAAAGAGAGAACTTCACATCATATTTAAATAATTTTTCTCCTTTGTGTTTGTATTTTTCCTGCTTCTTATAGTGTGCTAATAAGAAAATTGAACAAAAATCTGTTATGAAAGGAAAGAAATAAGGAAAAAAAATCTTGGTGGAAACTCCTGCAATTCAGTTGCTTGTCATACTTTGCATTTTATTCCATTTTTTTTTCACATGATGTACTTATTATAGCAATATAATCTTTGCCCCAGGGATCTGAATTGTCTGCTATCACTTCGCTATATATCATATCCCGCCTTATTCAGGTTGTTGGTGGAAGAAGCATGATTAACAATGTGGCTGGCGTTATCTTGTATCATTTTCTGAACATAAATGTGAGAATTCTGAGTGAAGGGAATTCTTCTGATGTCCATGATGATGTTAAGTTTTTGTCAAAGTGCTTGAATGAAGTGGAAAGAGTTATATGTTATTCTCCTGAGTCAAATGAATCTGAGAGCATCAATGGGACCTATTTAGGTTCTCATTGGGAAGGTTTCATGTCTAGTTTCAATATTAATAGCTCAAATGGTGAAATTTGTTTCCAAAGGTTGGTGAGTTGTAGATTTTGTCATATTTTTGGATACGTAAATTTCATTTGACTTTGTAGTGTTGAGACACTTGTTCTATCTTTCTCTCTTTTCCAGTTGTTGTTTGTGTGTATGTGCCAGAAGGAAGATCCATGTGTGTGTGACATAGGGGAGGGGGGGAAGGATATAAAAGCGAAACCTTATTAACTAGAAGGATCAGGTTATATGAAGGATAATGATTGTCGATAAATGAGTTTGCCAGATCAGAAATAAATGCTATAGAAAATTTGTTGTTTCATGTTAATATATGATTATTTACTTAAGTTTTTTGGGATGTATTCTGCTTTTCCTTTTTATTTTTTATAAGCTTCATGATTTCGTTAGAGCTTGGATGCAATAGAGATGGATGAGAAAGCTAGATACCAAGTCAGTTGAAGATTGTATTTTTTTTCATTTGAATTTGATTTTCGTTTTTGTGTGGTGATCTTATGATTTTATATTTTTAAGAACTCGTTCCTTAAACAAATGTTTGCAATGCAGCTCCTGACATCAGGAGGAAGCATTTATTGAGGCAGATCATTAATGTATTAATTAATGCAAGTTGATGATCCGGTGTATCTAAATGTGCATATAATGAAATTGCTATTTTTGCAGGAATGGAATATTTGCTTTTGTTTTCTGTGAGGATCAGAGTCTATTGTTAGCTTCAATATTTCTCTTGCTTATTCTGACTGAAAGTAAAGGTAGCGTGATTTTGTTCATTTGTGTAGTCTTACAGTTGTCTTATAGTAAGTGATTGAGTTATTTATTGTCTGTTTCTATTCCATGCAAGTTTTGCAGATCTTGATTGTCTATTATCTCCAATGATTGGGCTATATGAGATGGGGGATGTGATGGTAAGTATGATGGACGCATTGATTTGAATTGAAGAGGATTATCAATTTTCAGAATGGCATATATTATGCACATCTATTACTGTAAACTGTTAAGGATTATTTATTCTAAAAAATGAAATTATTTTTTACTCAATTCTGGAGCCTTTTAACTGTGTCAAAATACAACAGGAGGCAAGCCTTTTTCTTGCTACTAGGAGGGATTGGCTACATTGACCTAATGATTTCATAATGTTTTATAGTGTGCATACAAACCATTGATCTTTAAATCCTCCTTAATTGTTTTGCTCACAGTTTTTCTCTTCCTCGACCTCTAGCAATATGGCTACCTTCCATTTATCTATTCTCCTTACTAGGGCGGCTACGAGTCTTCTCCACACTTTAGTTATGCGAAAATACCTATATATAATCATAATCTACGATTGATGCATGATGTTGCTACTCACACATTGATAGGCTTGAGGTTGAACTTTTTTGTTCTATTTATTTTGCTTTCAAAACCAGTTTTCAGACCACATGCATTTATTACTGAGAAGATTATAATTTAGGAACACGCCTACTGAATTGGTTACGAATATCTGGTTAATAGCTGAAAGCCTGAAACCTGTTGATTTCAGATGCTTTATATGTTTTATGTTTTTTAGTCTCTGTCTGTTTCAGTTGCAGACTAATGACGCATCAACATCCAAGTCTGTGGATGGATGTATCTTCATTAGATTTATGCCTGAGGTATATCGAACATTATTTTTTATGCGTTTGATCATATTATCCTTCGTTATTATTATTTTATTTGGTGTAGTTTTAGTAGAATTGGGTTCCACAGAGCATTTAAAATGATAATAAAAGCTGAACGTTTTAGCCTTCCAGCAACCCCTCTCTATAATGATGAAATGGCATGCGGGGTGGTGCTTGAAAAAGCTACTCAACTTCAATAGACAGGGACTTAACGGTGATAATCTTATCCTATTCACTGTAAGTATTCAACAGCTTCAGCTAATTTCTTAACATACTATTACAAGTGGATATCTACTTGCACGGAGAATACTTGTATTTTTGTTAGGAGCCATAGGTTTGATAAGGTCTATGCTAAGAAATACCATGACAGGGGTATGGGCCATAATGTAGGCCCAGTTATAAATAATTCTAATACAGCATGCCATGGTGGACAAATGTTTGATATATATATATATA